TCTAAATTTAATGAGGTGGGTGTCGTCTTTATGTATTCAACGGGTATTTCAATTTCTTAAAGATATCAGTTTTTGTCATAGAAACGTATAAAAGTCTATAACAATGATATGACGATAGAAAGTAAGTCTTTAATAAGATATGTGAGTCACCGTAAGGTTCATGCCGTTTATCAACCTTGTTCCTTTCTCTATTAAATCCAATGTAGCATCACGTGACGTATAGCAATTTCCATATTTCGGAAAATTACTGCATACATTTTTCTTATCAAAGTTGGAGTCCTAGTGGAAATTTTGCAACAACTTTTGCTGTAATTGATTACAAAAATATATTGTCGAACTTCTTTCGCTCGAACACGTAGGGCACGTGCAAATCTGTCGAAGAGATCGGTAGTAATCGGTTGATTTTTTATTCATAAAAAGATCATACATTTCGGGTGCATGGGTGTGAAGGATATCCCGGTTATATACGTTACATGGTATATAATGATACAATTTACTTAGCCGCTTCTTGAGGGAAGCCCAACTACTTATGGTCTGCTTTAGAAAGGCGGTTGCTTAAAACAAGTTATCTGAGAAAAAAAGTGTAAGTTTTAAATATTTTTTCCTTGGCGGTTTAAGCCATGTTACTGCTGAATACAGGTGACCGCTGATTCAGGTTTTCCTGAAGAATTTTGTTTGTTTCTTTGTTTCATTTTACGCCTTTTCCCAACAGTATTTCAGTCATATGGGCGGGTAGTTTCCATTGTTCCTGGAGATTTACACCAGTACTAGACTACCTTCCTCCGTGCTAAACTACCAAAGCATCTTCCGGGGATCGAACCCACGCCAGAGAGGTAACTGGATTAGAAGTCATCGACTCAAACCTCTCGACCACGGAGGCGGTCGTTCCTGAAGATATAACTTAGCACCTGTTTATCCTATGTAGACTGTACACCAAAGCAGTTTCATGTCTTCTCCAGATATATTCATTGATCGTGTTTTAATTTTGCCACATGGCCTCAATGTTGCATTTGCGGAAACTTATGACATAAAACTTTTGTTGACGAACAGTATACACAGAAACATTTAGTGCATTCGTTGGGTTTTATAATGTCAATATGATTTCGCACCAATTTAATTAGGAACTAAAACACGATCAAAACCAACGTTATATAACCAAATTTTTGTGCAAATGATAAGCGTACTATGCTTCATAATGATTTACACACTTATTGACTAATAAAATACGCTTAAACGTGCCGTAATTAAGCACAAGAAACACACTGGCAGTAACAAAAGTTATCATAAGAACTCCAGGACATATTTTGAGTTATCACAAGAACTCCGTAACATTTGAAAAATCGGGTATACATTTATTAGCCCGGGCTTTATGTTTGCAACTCTCTACTATAATTAGGTGATTATGTATAGCAACGAAGAAGATCACAAATCAAAAAGTCAATATGTACGAATTAGCAAGTAATTTGGAAATTTTTCTCAAAACTACCAGATTTTTTTAAACGGCGACGAAATATGGACTAAAATATTTTTTTCGGAAACATAATACAATATGTAGGGCAAGCTTAATTATCAAAGTTTAATTTAGCACCTCAAACTCCACATTTAAAGTTAAAAATAACCATTTTTACGCGAGTTCTCTAAGTATATAGAAAAGTTTTCCACAGAAATCCGTAACGTTTTCCAGGAACTCCGTGACAGTTATCATAAGAACTCCAAACAAGTTATCATAAGAACTCCATCCTTCGTGTAACACTTCCTCCCCCGTGTGTGTGGCACATAAATCACTTTCTTAATACTGTTTGTCTTCACTTTTTTGACCCTGTAAGACATGTTCTTAGGGTTTTTTCCATTCTAAAGATTCTCTTCTACTTAGAAATGCAAAAAATCTAAATCCCAATATCAAATTCACATGACAGATAATTATAAAGAATTTTGTCTGATAAAACACAAAAAGCAATGCTAATTACGTAATTCTAGTCAAATTAAACTTAATAAATAAGTCAAAATAGTGTTGGACTTAAAAGAATTCATTGATAATTTCAACAATGAAAATTGATTGCATAAAAGCAAGTGTACATTAGTAATGTAACTGTTCATGAATAATAAAAGTGTGTATCAGTAATAGATGTATATGTTTTAGTAATGCAAGTGTACAATAGTAATGTATAAGTATACATTTAAGTAATGTAAGTGTGCATTTATCATGTAAGTGTGCATTAATTATGTAAGTGTCAATTTTAGTAATGTAAGTGTCAATTTTAGTAATGGAAATGTAAATTTTAGTAATGTGAGTGTACATTTTAGTAATGTAAATGTACATTTTAGTAATGTAATTGTACATTTTAGAAATATTAGTGTACATTTTAGTAATGTTAGTGTGCATTAGTTAAGTAAGTGTGCATTAGTTGTGTAAGTGTGCATTATCTATGTAAGTGTACATAAGAAATGTAAGTGTACATTAGTGTTGTAAATGTGCATAAGTTATGTAAGTGTGTATTAGTTATGTACATGTACATTAATTATGTAAGTGTACATTAATCATGTAAGTGTGTATTAGTTATGTCTGTGTATATTTTAGTAATGTAAGTGTACATTACTACTGTAAGTGTACATTTCAGTAATGTAAGTGTGCATTAATCATGTAAGTGTAAGTGGTTTTCATCACTTAACTGGAAAGAGGCCTTATCTTATTGGTTTTGGAGGGAAATTGTCCCTAAAATTGCTATTTTGAGAAATAAAAAGCTGGTGTAGGATAAGATTTTTGGGAAAATTGCATGATTTTAATTTAAAGAGAACTTTGATTGGGAATGGCCTTTTATAGGCCCCTGTCATATCAGGTGTAAAATCACTGAATGTGTATTAGTAATATACTAGGTGAACACAAATACTCTAAATGCACATTAGTCATGTTAGTATCAGTAATGTGTACATAAGAATTGTAATTGTACTGAAATATTGTATGTGTGTATAAAACAATATATTTTTGCAACAGTAATGTAAGAATGTATGACTCAAGTACATAATAATAAAGTGAGCATGAATCATTTATTTATGTTTTTGATTTTTGTTTTATGAGTGCATCAGTTATATTTGTATGTTTTTATGATGCCTGGAATAACTGTAATTAATACTTATAAAGGAATGTAGTTCTTAGTAATTTAATTATTCACATGCATTTAAGTGCATAATATTATTATCTTTGCTATTTAAATATTGTTTGATATAACTGATAAATGAAATGTGCTTCCTAAACTCCACACATTGTATTATAAACAACTTTCTATATGTTTGAGTTGTTCCAGTGGTGTCAAATGAGGTTAAACACTAAATACGTGATATTTTAACAATTAAAACTCCCTACCTGTCCCATCCTTTGGGGTTCTAAATTGTTAAAACTTCATGTAATAAACACTATAAACTTAGATGTGCATCCTAATACTCCTTTCTTCATGGGCTTTGTAATTGTTAAATACAAAATTTATAAAAATGAGATTTTCTTTTATTTTAAAAATTACTTTACCGGTATTCAATTTTCCTTTTTGTCATTTTACTAATTTTAGTCTGTTTTCCAGCAAAGAACTTTAATCTCACTTAATAATAAAGATGATACAAGTGAATATCATCTAAAGTAGTCTCTGCTTGTTGGACCATGAAATTATTTAGGTATTTTAAACCTTAAATTTTCTTTATGAAATGACAAAACAGAAATAGCATTTAATAAGCATACAGGTTTTTATAAACATTTATAAAGGATTAAGTCATTTATGGAAGCCAGCTTCCTAATCAGGACTATTTAAATATGATTCTGGTGATTATTTTAAAATAATCTGAGATATTCTGTACATATTTTTTTATACATTGTAGGCATATTTAGAGAAAACCATCAAATATAATGGATTAATCTGTCTGCTAGCCCATCTGAAAGCGCAAAAAAAATGCATTGACTAATTTCACTCAAGGAAGTGTTTTACTGGCATTGCATTAATTGAGGACATTTTTAATGAAAATGTTAAAGAAGTTATATGATGATATTTTTAATGAAAATGTTAAAGAAGTTTTATTTTTTACCTTGTAACTAGACTGGAATATACAGTATTGTTCAGTGTTTATTCTAGGATTCGAAAAACATTTTTTATCGAAAAGTGAGAATTTATTACATTTGTTGATCTTTTTCCTTCTTTGTCTATGTAAAATTTTCCCCCTTCCTCTCAAAAAATAGGGGTGGAATTTTCAAAATTATGGGTGAATCCCCCAATCGCCCCTCATAGAATAGACACTGATTGTTGGGTTCAATGAATTCACATACATTACATAAAAAAAGAATATTTTGTAGACCTTTCTATTGAAAATGTGTCAAAAGTTAAAATGTAACCCATAAATGCACAGTTTATTAAATGGAGTGAAGGTATTAGTTACCTGGAAAGCATGTATTATTTACCTGCACCCCAGTTAACTTACTGTCTTTCTGGGATAATAAAGAGCATACTTGATTATAGGCTACATTTTTTCTGCGGTTTCAATTCGATCTTCATCATGAAAGATGATTAAGTTTGAAAAAATTGCACTCATATTTCAACCTGGGGACTGTTGTTGATCTAATTCACATTATATAAACAAGACTTCATCTCCTTTGTGTTACTGCAAAAAAGCTTCAAGTTAAAAAAATTTAGGCTCCCAAAACAGGTACAGTGATCAGAAGTAATCACAAGACAGGGTACATGCAGTAAGTTTATATACTGAGCAATCGCATTGGTAGTTTTCTTCTGATACCACACTCATTACTTGTAATTAGAATATTATGAGTGATTTATGTAATGGTCAGTCCCTTCCTGAAGTAAGATTCTGTCAAAAATGCATAGTCTCTCCAGACATCAAATTATTTTCACTATGTACAGTATTTATTATGAAATCAGTGCAATTTTATAGCGTTAAAAACTCTAACAAAGAATCATTGACTATTTATTTTCATACGAAAATGTGTGTTATAAAAAGATAATCACCCCTTAATGCTGGAAACTCTTGACACCTGTTAAAAGCAAGGAATTTCACCGAATGTTCCATTTTTCACCTTTCTCAGACTCCACCATCAGCCATTTTGAACGGTCACATGATCAAAACACATTTTGACCTTTTGACCTAAAGTAGTTCTTTATTTACATACTATTAATACGATGTACTCCTGTCAGTTTTAATTTGTATAAACAAAGAATAAATTTGAACCAGTCATAGAAAAATAATGTATTTCATTAAATAATTTAAATATGATGGTAAATAGATGCATCTTTGTGGACACTCTGCCAATATGTTTGCAGGACTATTTTACACGAATGTATTAATCGGCGAGCTGTTGTTCGGCTCCTTCATTGACGTGAAAACTCGCTCTCCTAGCTAGCACGTTTAGATTATTTATTTTTCCTTTGGCTGTCACTTTGTGTATGTGATATTTGCCTGCTCATATTTTATCCAGATCCCTTTGCTAGACTCCCAGGTATGTTATTCACTTTTCCATTGTAGCTTTTCACCTTTCGACACTTAACTTTCTTTTTTTCATGATCATTTTGAAGCATTTTCGCCTTGTGTTGCGGCTCTGTGCCACATTAGATATAATAGCAACTTTGAGTTATTGTACAAGACTGGAGTCGACACCTTTACCTGTTTATTGCTTTGTTATTGTTAGTTATTTTAGTCTTTATTTATGTTACAAGTTTTATAAATGCATTGTTATTCAAAATTATACTTTGATAATAACTTAATTAATTAAATAATAATTATTTTTAAAGAAAGAAAAAAAAAGTTGTTTGAAGTTATAAATTTTATCATTTTCAATAAACAGGGAAAGGTAATTTTAAAGTAAGGAAAACTTTAATTTTCATGTTTAGCACATGTGTTTTGCAATTTTGATCTTAAATTGATTATTTAACCTAGGTTCAAAGTGATTTCGTTGGGGATTTTGCAAAGGTGGGCGTACTTAATTTATTTTTATGATCAATTTCTCCTTTTCTAAATATTGACTATTGGGCTTAAAAATTTTATTTTAGTTTACCTCTGAGATTTAATATTAACATGTCAGATCAAAATTGCAGACCATATTATCATCGTCCTTGCATGCCTAATTATAGATTTAAAATGTTTTAATTATGTAATACATAACTGTCTCAATGTCCGTCATCTTTTATCATCTGCTTCAACAATTCCTCCCAATCTGCTCACCTGTGACTTTTATATAGTAAAATTTACCCATCAAAATACCATACCTTTTATGCTTTGGGAATTGTCCTTCGTCCGTAGATTCCTCTTATATTGTTATTATATATTCCCATAATTATTGGTTTGACCTACCTGACACAGTATCCCAGCCACAAAAACCCCCAAGTATACACCTTCCTTATACCCCTTCCCGCAAGCAATGGAGACGGGTTAATAAAAGAAAATAAAAATCGGAAAAAAAATTGTGAAGATGTTTTTTCGGAGAAAAATGTCTTGGAAAAAATGGAACATTTGGATTTACCACACATGGATGACCAGTGAATGCACAAAAGGATACTACATGGAGAGTTGGACAACTTCATATTGGTATAAACAGCTAAACGTTGTGAACTAAGTTTTATTTTATATGAAAATAGTGATAGATCAATGTAACAGTTGTTTTATATATACATATATATCACAAGACAGCTGTAAGGAGTATTGTTGTAACAGATATTAGAAAACTGATAATGAATAAAAAACAACGTTAATTAAGACTGAGTGATAGTAAAAGAAAACAATTCAGATTTTTATCTATGTACATACAAACAAGAGAATGTCACACCTAGTGTAGACTTTAAATGATGCCCGAAAACTTCTCAATAGGTTAACGTGTCAATTGTTACATTGCGAGACAAATTGAACAAAATATTACGTCGTCATCGCCAGTAACTGCAAGATGGAAAGTGACAATATCGGTGATGCTTTACACAGCCATCACATACAAAACTAATTTAACCGGATCTTTGTATGTGTATATATATTGATTTTCATTATTTTACAGTACATTTATATATATTCATGCTGTTTTTCTTCCAGGTAGCTTGACCTTTTTGTAAACTTGTTTAAAATTTGTAACCACTGCAGTAAAGCTGAGAGGTTTGTTTATAATTATACTCTTTTTTTTTAAAGACAGCTATGTGATATATAAGTTTTTATATACATGCCACAGATAATCTTTTATATCTGCATAATATAGGACAATAGTTATGTATTTCAAACAGAAAAATCTGAAGAAAAAAAAAATACACAGGTAAATAACAAGCATAAACTGTAGTGAGAATTTAGATGGGAACTCTTGATTTATTAATAACATTTTTTTAGCATGTGGTGTCTGCTAGAAGGTCTTAACCTTCCAAGAATTATTTTACAAAAAGAGATTAATCTCTTGCAGGTATCATAATCCCCATTTAGATTTGGACACAATGCAAAACCATCCTATATAGTTATTTGTATATATGTACAGATAAACTAGTTTTGCTGAAAGCCCCAATAATGTGGAATAGCCCCTATGTTACAAAATAATTGAGGTAATTTTTTTCTTCTTTTGAGAATCATTGATAAGGTCTATTGGTATGGTTTATAATTTTTCTGTTTATAACACCCAATTCCTGAAGTTCTTAAATTATGCAAGTCTTTAAATTAGAATTTGAGTGTGTTATTATATATTCTAAATTTGTCATATATGTCTTAAGATTAGGTAATCTCTTTAGGAATTCATTTTTCTCTCTTGAGTGGAGTTAAAAAGGGGTAAAACTGTCCATTAGTACTGTCTGTGTCAACGAAAGTGGCAAAATTTACAGATATATCAATAGATAAGGGTTTTGTAAGGTTACCGGCTACATTTTTCTTCTCCGTTTGACATAGTTATACCTTTAGAACTTTAAATATTTAATCTGGGTACATCTAAAAAATTTAGATATATTTTTAGAGGGAAATCTGTCAGTAAGGTAAATCTATTAATGCATGGGGATTTTATTACTTAACATTTTCTCTGGGAGTTTTAATATGATTGTCACATCTTTAGAATCTTATAGATAAAAATGTCAGACAAAATGGTATTGTTGTATATTTTTCACATTTTTTCCCACTCCCAGATTTACTGGGTGCTCTTTTTTTTCTCTCAGACTTTTTTTTCCAGGGAAATAATAAACACGCTCTAGTTTTATTTCTGTTTTTTATCTTCAGAGAAAACAAAGGCAATATAATAATCATGTAGGTTGTTTCTATGGAATACATTCTAGTAATAGTTTTGAGATAGGGCACATAGGCCTTTTGGAAATGCTAATATCTTTAAGGCCAGACTTGAAAAGTTTAAAATAAGGTGTTAATATGTGTTTACTTCACAGATATTCTGCTTTATCTTTATTAATGAAATACATGTAACTATTGTTTTTGCATATTTCATACTAAATGCAAATATTTATGAAATAAACATGTCTCAAGCATAATTTATATTGTTACTCATGTCACAAACGTAAAGCTAAGCACCCAAACCTGGGAGAATTTATTGCACTGATTATTAAGAAACAGTCGAAAACATAAATTTAGCAATTTATTTATTTATAATTGATTCATGCATCTATCATGAAAATGACTAAACATTATCTAACTGATACATGTATCTAATAAAAATGACCGGAATATTACTTTATTCTTTTCTGCTTTTAACTTTGTGGACACAATTTTAATTTGTTTACATCTAAAATCAGCCATTGTTGATATTAAGAAATAATTTCAAGATGTTGTGAACTAAGTTTAAAAATCAAGTAGCCAACAAAATTAAGTACTTGTCAATGGTATTTTGTCTGCACAGAGGTGCTGTCTTGCCTGGCACTTTACTATTGGCATAAAGTTACTACTGGTATTGGCGCACCAGTCTTAAAGATGTAAAACACTTTTATAACATACATTGGCCTATTCTAAGATATAAGTTTGCCTTTATCACTGCTGGAAACATATGGTTGTGGTAGAAAATGATAAAACAATAGGTTTTATTGAGACAGCTCTCCTACATGAATTATGATACAAATCATATGATTAACTATGTTACATATGTATATATAATTATTGAATAGAGAAGTTGTACATATATATTCATTTTGCGTAACATCTGTTAAAATAATATAAAATAATGTACATTAAGGGAATTGGTTTTCTTAAATATCTAAAATAATGTACTTACAGGGAATGGAGTCCTAAATATCTAAAATAATGTTCTTATAAGAAATTGGTGTCCTAAATATCTAAAACAATGTACATATATAGAATTGGTGTCCTTAAAGGCAAAGATATATTCGGCGTGGCCGAGTGGTTAACGCGTCGGACTAGTAATCTAAGGATTGCTGACCGCGTGGGTTCAAACCCTGTCAGGGGCAAGTCGTTGTTTCCTTGAGCAAGAAACTTTACATATATATAGAATTGGTGTCCTTAAAGGCAAAGATACCTTCCATTTAACATAGCAACTTATAATGACTAAAAGCCATGTAGCTTCGCTGCTTGTAGTTTTACTACTATTTTACTCATCTGGCATTGTAAGTACTGAATAGTCCAGCAAGGGGCATGTGAGTTAATATTAGGGAAAGCTATCAGCTTCCATAATTATCTAGTTTGAATAGTAATGTAACTTTATTTAAAGGAAATAATTGTGTACTTATTTAGGCAAGTACAAGTTACACTGTCACATATGCCATACCCTTCCTGTTTATTTTTTTGGGTTGTTTTGAAAATTGGTCAATGTGTTAAGACTGTTATTGAAATGATTTAATTGACAGCTTAAGTAAATTAGTAAGCAAACATTGATTATTTGGAGGAGCCAAATAAGATATATAACTATTTAAGATATATTAGATTTTATTTGGTCAAGATATTACAGACGACATCATTAGGCAAAATGATCATAAATTCATATATCAGATTAAAGTATAAAGAGAGTATGGTTGGCTCAATATAAATCCTTGATTTTGTAGTTTTAACTTAGGCATTGTTTACAAGAAGTAAAGATACAAAACGCATAATATTTCTCCAAGTTCTAAGCAAATTACTATTTCGCGTGAAATGTAATTGCCTTTCAAAATTATATTTATAGTTTTCG